CATGTACACATCATAGATAAATTCACCTGTCCCTATAAGGAGGTCGGATATGCAATTTTCTTGATTTTGCTTTTATTTTACTATTGACCTAAAAAAAGCAATGTTTTTCAGGAGCTTTAACAAAAAGTCAATTTCTCCTCATAGTTTATGAAATAGCCATGTTAACAAAGTAAATATATTTATAAAATTAAGCTATTTTAAACTGTGACGCGCTCTCCTGTAAAATTGCTGATTTGCAAATACTACATTCTTAATAGCGATCGGCAAATTACAACCAGATATAGAACAAATGATTATCATCACAGAATTATTTGTCCTGGGTGGGTTTGGAACACAAGATGGCTAGCCACTAACAGACAAACCCGTCCAATATACATATGAATTGGTTTTAATTTAGTTAATTTTATGGTGAGAGAGACTTTCCAGGAGACAACCCTGGTCTGCTTCACTCTTTATTTTATTCTTTTGCCTACCATTGCCTTCTCTCCTATCTACCTTTAATCTCAATTTACTAGCAATTTTCCCATCTGACACCTAATGTGCCCAGTTATAGCAAGTTGATTTGTCTACGAGTACTTGAGCGGGACTAAAATTATAGTCGTGGTTTTATACTCCTCTGCCTCCCCCTACAATGATATAGGCGTGAGTGTATAAATGAACTTTATGATGTGGTGCTTCTTCTAACTCGTCTGCCCAGAATCTCTGCGATTCAAAAAATTAAAAAAAAATCTTGCCTCTAGATAATCGAATTGATTTGAAACCGTGGCTCCTGTTTTTTTTCTTGGCCTAAAGATCCGATATCTAGAATTTATGAGCTGCAAAACGCTTTTTAAAGGTTTTTAATACGTCCATTTGTCACTCAGTGACGGCCCGTCCAAAATCGAGAGTAAAATTTGAATTAATATTTTCTGTTCCCTTTTAATTTTTATGAGTAGTGTATTTTTTATGGCATAGGATACAAGCAGATGCGTCATGATGGTAAGGGGCTGACCCCCTAGTTAGTTACACACATATTTTAACCAGTAAACCTTATAGTAATTTCTTATATAGAAAAGAAATTGTGGGTTCACATATTATTTGTGTATATTTTATTAGAACGGCGAATACTTCAAACTAAATCAAATATAAATCATAAATGTCATTTGCAAGGATAATAAATCGCCCACAGTCACTCACTGGTCCAAAGCTGTAACTAAACGCATTTGAAGCGATTTTTCGACTGACTACAATTAGTTACATTCACATCACCAGTAGAATTAAAATCGACTAATTACACTTTAGTCGATTTTATGTTAATAAAATATTAAATAGTCGAAATCATTTATAAATGAAACGATCTAACTATTGATGATGATGATGAAATTAATGATGACAAATTATTTTAAAAGTAACTTCTAAACCCTTTTTTTATGACGTCAACAACCACATCACGGGCAAAATCTTAGTCCAAAGCTTTTTTGCAGAGATGTAGCATTACTGAAGATAGTGAAAAAAAAATCCATTCCATTGATATCTACTTAAACGATAACTACATTTTTAATAACTAGTTATAACCGTTATAAAACCGATTATAGCTAGTTATAATCGTTATTGCTATTACTTTGTAACTGCAGTCAGTCGAATATCGTTTTGATAGTAAAAAATATTTAAAAAAAACGAGCATTCATGGCAAAAATAACGTACGATTCTGGTAACTATATGTCATTAGCTAAAATCTATTATTTTACAAATTAAATCCGATTGCCGAGCGTAAAATTTCTTAAAAGAAAAACAATAATAAATAGTGATAAACAAGACTTTTAATCACTTTATATATATATATACTTATTTTCTCTTTTCATCTTCTTTTTAAATTTTCCAACTCCCTTTTTCCTCATGCTCACTTCCTCTCATACTTTCTCTCAATTCAACTCTGCTTAATGTAATATCATCATATCAGCATTATACCCCCATGGGTAAATTGAAAAAAAAAATAGAAATTCTACACACGGCCATTTAAATTCAACTAGAAAATGCTACAAATAGATATTTTATATAAAAACAATAATAAAATACTAAACACAACGTGGAAAAAATATCAGATTTGACTTTAAAAAAAAATTGAAAAAAAAAATATTTTTTCATTTTTAAGCTTACAAGATACCTTACATATAAGAGAATGGCAACAACGCAGTTTATTCCACTATACTGTGGAGGGAAGAGGGTAGAAGAAGTGGTAAAAACCAAATGTCTGCCCCAACCTTTATGTTTTAAGAAACGGACCAGATGTCGCTAGTGTAGCCAAAGGGTACGACATGAAGTTAGCTGTTGTCTGTTCCTCTACGTATTGGGCATACAGCTAGCTTCACAACGGAGTTATCTTAACTGACACTTCAAAAATACAAGTCAAGTGAAATCAGTTCCTTTTTATTAAACGTCAAAAAGATGGACGCTTTACATTTTTTAATGAAATACAAAACCGTGACGTCATACCTAGCTATCGTCAACTCACTTTTAATGTTGATATAGATTAAAAAAAAACATTAAATTGATAATGGTTTATGATTAATATTGAACTGAATAATTTAAGATGTTGATTCCCCATCGATTTAATAACAATTAATGATTTTGGTTTTATTCGATAATGTCCTTTATTAGATCCTCTGCTACAGTAGCGCCATCTACATATACTTCTGACAGATATGTTTTCATACACACAGACGACCTCCTCTTTCACTCCACCCTCCAAACACCATACGAACACCAAATACAATTGTACATCATAATAAAAAAAAAACATACAGACCCATTTCTCTTGAACTTGTTTTGATGTTAGGCCAAAATCCCTGTTTACAATGTGTTTTAAAACTCAATATTATAATTATTTTTCGAAAAAACCTTTATAAATAAATCTAAAATCATTTTTAACACACATATCCAAATCATGTTATTTATTACTAGCGATTATCAATAAGTCAAAAGAAACATATCACATGCGTGGTATTGTCGACCAAAACATCCTTTCTAAGGAGATACCTGTGTCCAGCCAGTGGACCACTAAAGGCTGTTGATGATAATTATTAAATAATTTGAATATGTGTGTTAAATAATATTTCAAAAATACATCAACGTTTCTTGTACAAATCCTTATTAAAAAAAAAGTAATTTGTAGATTCGAACCTTTTTACAAATAATTGTTACGCCAATCTTTAAAATACATATATAAAATAGATCTGCATGTCCTTTCTTACATGATGACATACAAAATCGCATAATACAAAAAAGTAGGATAATTTATCAACTTTTTAATCAGCCTGTATAATATGCTTCACAATAAAAAAAAATCAACAGTCGACCAACGGCGAATTTACCTCTATTGGCAGGATAAGCTGACCCCAGGACAATGTTAGCCATGAATGTCACCCTACATGCTTCTGGGACACGCTTCATAAGAAGTACATTTGACATACACAGGTCGCTTCTAATCAACGCTTTAAGTAGGGTGACAAGGTTTTTTTTTTTGCTGTCACCCTATAAAGCTTCTGGCAGACCCTATAGTGGTAGTGTACTTTTCTGTAAACAATATAAAAATACGTTGGACAGCTTTTAATCAACGCTATGACCCTGAAACACTTCTGGTTTACCCTAAAATGCTTCTGGAAGAGTTGTTGCTGATATAACCTTCTGGTTTTTACTGGTTTATTTATCAGCACTTCTGACCTAACTAAAATTATCAGCTGAAACGTATATTTTTATAATTTCTCAAGAATTTGTCTTTCATTTGAGGAAATACTTTTCAAATCGGACTGGTAGTTTCCAAGATGACGGCGTTAAAGAAACAAACACTTCAGTTTTATTGTATTCTCATTAGACATGGAAATTATTGCTAATTTGAATCATAATCATATGATGAAATGATTGGATTTCGCTACTATGATTGAGATTTGGTCATGAACAAAGATAAATACGTATGAATGAATGCATGATTATTATGTCATATAATTTATCACAGGTGATTGTGATTTTACTCCATCCCTCTCATAATGATTATTTATCCTTCAAGAGTTTAAGTCCACCATGTTGGTCAAGTGCGAGTTGGCACATAGAATACAGGCTGTTTTCTTTTTAAAAAAGAAGATTAAAAAAAACATGTGAAAAATCCCGATTATATTTCATTTGTACAATTTCTTTATTATATAAATATTAATATACATATTTTTATATACAATAATATTACTATGTATTTTTTTTTATTTAGTGAAGATTTTAGGCGCACAATTTTTAATCTCGCTCACCCTTCAAAGAAAGCTATCGCCGATGTTAATGTTTTAAATAATCAACACTGAGGTGGCATACAAATAATATTAATGGTTATATTATAACTATACTCTCTCTCTCTTTTATAGTAAATAGTTCTCATCCCAGCGAAAATCTGCCGTACCTGCTTCCCACAAACAATTTGATTTCACTATTTTTCAAATGACAATTAAAATAATATAACAATAACGCAATCCAAACTTTACAGTGTGATGCAGGATCACTAGATTCGATGTAATTCAACTTGTTTTCGTTAGATGGCGTTAAACGAAAAAGAAATTTATGTAGTAGAAATATAGTTCTCAACCGAATATGATTTTTCTTTAAAGGGTTAGGCAATTTGAAAAATTATTATTTTTATTAAAAATAAAATAAACACTTCACTAAATATAATTTTTATCACAAATGGCATAGTAATACAACACTCGATCCCTTGGTAATATATTTTTTTATGAAAAACAAATAACAGTAATAAAATAAATAATAATAAAAAACTCTCACAAAATAGTACCGATTTAAGTTATGCGCAAGAGACCGCGCGTTTCTTATTTATTTATCAATAAAAATATATTATTATCGTTTCATTATTAATAATTATTAAAAAAAAAAAGAAAACGTCGAGAGATTATCGTCGTGTAGAGAATTATCTTTTTTATATTTTTTATTTTATTTTTGATTTTTGTATAACTTTGGAATGTCTCCGATCACTGAAGAATTCTTGAGATATCCTACAAGAAAACAAACATATTTATAAATATAAATATATTAATTAATAACAACACATCCCAACATGGCCGCCTAATCCCAAACTAGGCAGAGCCTGTACTATGGTAACCATACCACATATTTGTATATATATTATATTATTTTTGATTTTATTTCTCATCTTGTTCTGCCAACTACTAAATTTACAATGTTGCACTGCCTCAGACTATATTTTGACTGTGGAATGGAAACCTAGTTATCCATATTACAGGGTTTTTACCTAGCTTAGGAACTAGTCTCTTAATGATCAAATCTGTGAAGAAGTAACAGAGAGTGTTTCTGTGTGTCTGTCTGTAACCTCTTCACGCTTAAACCGCTGAACAGATTTAGATGAAACTTGGTATAGAGATAGTTTGAGCTCCGGGAAAGGACATAGAATAGTTTTTATTATACTAACTAGCAAGTCACAGGAACACCTAGTTTAAGAGTGAGGGTTACTCTATTCATCATCATCAACAGCCTATAATAGTCCACAGCTGGACATAGGCCTCTCCTTAGAAAGGTTTTGGGCTACTATACCACGCTGGCCAGACGGGTTGGTATAGGGTTTGTTTCAAGTTTTCCTTCTCTTTGCAGATACCTTTGTCCAGCAGTGGACTATTAAAGGTTGTTGATGTGATCATGATGTTTCTTAATTATCAAGGGTTTCAATGCTATCTGTATAAGCCAATTTGCCTTCTTAAATATTTTTCTCTTGTAATATATTCTTTAATCAGCAACTATTTCATTGTTATCTGTATATCATACATTTGACTTAGAACGAAAAATGGGGGACACACTTAACCTGGTCCTACGTATCTTATCCGTCTATCCGGATATAATATCTGGTTTTCTTTCTAAATACATACATATTGTGGATAAATTACACCCACTACAGAACAAATCATTGTGCTGATCACACAATTATCTTGGGCAACTTGGGAGTGGGAGTATTATGATTGTTCAAATAAAGAGTGAAAGCTTTACGATGTTCTTCTTATCATGTCTTACGGTGAACATCAGCAAGGTGTGAAAAGAAATCCAGATACTGGTCTAAGCGGTTGTTCTATGAAAACTCAGGGGACACAAGACAGCACCAGGGACTTCCTTTCTAGGGTATACCTGGTTCCCCGGCTACTGGTACCTGAGACGGCGTGCGGTTTTAGTCGGTTCGAGTCCGACATTGCCACAGGTAAGTGGTATCTGAGGGGATTTCCGCACAGAAAAAAAAAGGGGACACAAGATATTAGCTAAACATTATCATCTCACCTCATATCTATGGAGTAACGGTGGACCATTATAATGTGAACTTTCGCTGTAGAAGAATGGCCGCTTCATCGTGTTTTGCCCTGAGACAAAAAATAAATATATAATAAGTAAATGGCGACTCCCAGAGGGGTTGGGAGTAGGTACGCTACAAGTGCTACATCACAAGATACGTACAGAGTTGCGTGTGCGCGGCGAGCGCGTTCTGCTTGGCGATGAGCAGCTCCGGGCCGGGCCGCGCGCCGCCCGCGTAGTACGCGCCTGGGGGAGCCACGTGTGGGTTAGAGACACAGTCATACCACTCATCTGCCGGATATCCGGCTATCCGTATCGAAAGTGATACGTGATCGCGAACCACATGTGATACGTGTTTTTTTTTTTCAAACATCTGAAAGCTCAGTTTCAAACTAAGTAGAGCTTGTACTAGATTGACTGATAGAATGCTTATAGTATAGTTTTTTTCGCAAATACATACATATAATAAATAGAAAACACCCAAACTCTAAAACAAATATTAGCAGATCATACAAACATTTGGTTCAACCCGGGCATCGAACCCGAGTCCTCAGAATAGCAGTCGCATACGCTACCACTGCACCACCGAGGCAGTTTTAAACTAATTATTTTCATAAATATAGTCCTCAGCGTCAACTTGCGTTTTAAGGTCATAAAACTAAAAAGAACTTAAAATCCGTATCCGTATTTCCTGCTGTAAACACAAATAATCCGTATATAACATATATACATATCTTTTTTTAAATGACATCAAAAAAGGAGGGGGGTTTTTACTTTGTTTTTCTTATTTGCGGTAAATAAGAACTGGATAAAATTTAAAACAGAATGAGAAAATAGTTTTTTGGAAATTTTAACCCCAAGGGGGTAAAACAGGGGATGAACGTCAAATCGTCACTACACGCTTTTTTTTAAAGTTAGAAACATGAAAAAAGATATAATCACGCGAGCGAAACTGCAGGCAATAGCTAGTAATTAATAAATTAACACACCTGTGACAGTATTGTGTGTGTTCGACTGATAATAAGGGCTACCTTGGGGCTGCATCACGTTTTCGCATCCTGCAATAGAAAAAAAAACAAAATAAAAAATAACTACACAACATGAAGACACAATTTATTCATTTATTTTTTTGAGTTTACTCCTTAAGAATTAATTTTCATATAAGGCGCCCGGTATGAAAAAATATAAAAATATAAAGAGTAAAATTTAGTGATCGAATGACCTCGTTACGTTTTTTGTGCGCAACCTGTCGTGCGCACCTTTCACATGTGTGTGTATAACCTGTATACTTGTGTGCAGCCGAATCGTTCTTGACGAGTAAACCCCAGTCGTGCGTTGGAGCTGACACAAACACTTTTTTTATGGTAGAGGAGGCAAGCGAGCAGACGGGTCACCTGGGCCTCAATTTTGCTATTTTATGTTCACGCCAAGCTACTGTCATTTAAATAAATTAATAAAATAAATTCAAAAAATTAAATAGTAATTTAAATAAATTATAAAAATAAAAATAAATAAACATTTCTTTATAATTTTATTTTTTAATAATTTATTTTAATAAAAATAAATAAATCATTTAATCAAAAAACGTGATATATTTTCAACTACCGATATTTATACCGATGCCAATGGCCACTCGATGGCATCTCAATATCGTATCAGTGGTATGACAGTGGCTTGGCGTGAACATAAAATAGCAGAATTGAGGCCCTGATGGAAAGTAACTACCGACGCCCATGAACGGCTGCAACTAATTGCAATAAACACAAACATCCACAGTCAATACCGATTCACCCATATTTATTTGCCTTATCGCAGAATTAAAACGGGGCTACACCCGATCGAGGTCATAGAAGATATAGACGGGGCTTATTTCATAGAAAGATCCACTAGATTCGTAGTTTCCCTGTAATCTAGACTCGACATTTATCTAGTAACTTTAAGAAGACCGGTTTTCTATGAGGAAGTGGTATTACTCCGGTCGAGGCGTTCATACGTCGAAGAATAGCTCTTCCATGGTAAAAACATATTTTTGTGTCGGGGGGTATTAGTATTAATAGATGAAAAAATAAAAGTTATAAGCTAAAAAAACACCAAAAAACATTTTAAAAAGAATTTTAAATAACAACAAAGAATAGAAGAAAACAAGGTACGGATGATGTAGTGGTTAAAGCAGTCACCTCGCCGCTTCCTACTGCGCTGAATGTTGTTGAGTTCGATCCCCATATGGAACATAACTTTATGTGACCCACAAATTGTCGTTCTTAGTCTGGGTGTTCTTTGTGTCCGTTTCATGCATGTTTGTAAAGTCCCCCGCGACACAAGACATATTCCTAGTATAGTTGTCTTTTTTAAGAGAAAAAATAAGAAAGCAACTGATGGTCGACATACCACTGACAGTGTCTGGTTCTTCCTTGACCGGATGCTGTAGGGATTCTATCAAACGCTGTTGGTCAATTATTCTTCGACTATTGTACATATCCGCATCTAAAACAAAACATATTTTAGTACCAGATTTGAAAATCTTACATTTCATGCATACTACCCGCGCCTTTGTACGGCCTTTTTTTGTGTTTTTTTTTCTGTACGAAAGGTACTCTATGCTCTTTATCTGTGCAATGACTCTCGGTTTCATAATTACCCTTCATCAGACCACAAAAAAAGGTACTGCTTATATTGTAGGGACGATGGGAAAATGACTTTCAAAGTTAGTGAAACGGGCAGAAGCTGTCATCTATTACATTAATACATGTAGTTAATTCATTGTAAACCTTTATAAAGTACCTGGGTGACTGACTATGTTCGTTATTTTTTTTTTGGTATTGTTTTTAAATAAAACCTAGCTCGATTGATTAATCGCCCCCGAACCTCTCCTGCATACTAAATTTCATGAAAATAGGAGAGCCGTTTCCGAGATTCAGATTATATACACGGTGTTAAGGACGTCGTAACGAATACTGAAATAGTGTATTCAGGCAGTCATTCTGAATCGAAAATCATTCGAATTTACTGCCGGAAAATTAAACTTTTTATGCAATGAGCTGTCAAAGGTTAAGGTCAAGGCCTCGTAGGTATCGCACAAAAGCAATAACTACATGGTACAACAGAAAATGGTAGCCGGAGTGGAGGCCCCGCGCGCTCCGGCTATTTGATTAATAACGTTGCTTTTTTTTTGGTATTTATTAAATTGTTTTCGGTTTGGTGCAGTCGTTCGTACATTTCGGCTATTCATTTATATTTAAATCGATAAATTTAAAAATTATGTAAATCAAATTATATTAAATTATAAGTGTCCAGTGTATATTGTGATCTGTCAGTTACAAAAGTCTATCCAGTAAAAGTTCAAGTTATATTGGATAATGAATGAATTAAAATTCGAAATTCGTCGAGCAAACGACCTCTAGTAATAATAGTTAACACGATAATACATACCTAATTGGTCTTTGTTTCTATAAAGGAATTTATCTTCATCCCCGTTGATATCAATTTCCTGTTTTATATGATTCTCATTAAAAAAATTCTGATTCTCTGTTATCCTATCTTGTAATATTTGTAAATTCTGCTGTTGATTCCTTAAATGCTCAACATTATCATGGTAAGGGTAGCCCATGTAGTCATTCCTTTGGTATACCTTATCATTGAAGGGATATATGTCAGATATTTTCTGATAATTATCAACTGGTTTCGGGAAATCGACTAAAGATTTTCTTTCTAGAGCATACTTGTCAGCTTCGTTGTTATATTCTTCGTTTGTACGCAAAAAGTCTTCTGGTTTGTTGGTGTAGTCTTTCGCTTCATATTTTTTGTCGAATTCGGGGTCTTTTTGGAAATTCTGGACAGCGTATTCTGACATATCAGTGGAATATTTGTCTGAAACTTCGCTGTAACTGTTGTTGGGTTGGGAGTCATCTTCCTCTGATTGTACAGGATCTGTTTGCATGAACGCGTCTTGTTTTTTGGGTTTCATTGCTAGTGTGTGGTGGGGCTGTTGTGATATATTCATGTTGGCAAGTGGGTAACGGTAGAGCTGTAAGAAGAAAAATTGATGATGTAAATTATCACATCGTCAACGTAAACACATTATTCGGTATATTTTTTCCTCTATTTCTCGAGTAGGATAGGTCCTAAAGTAGCCTTGCCAAAATCGAAGGTTAGTATGCAAAAAGCTTTGCAAAAATGTACCTTCTATCGACCCTGTATAGATCAAAATCATTTGAGGTTTTTTTTGTGTTAAACCTCGGTAAAAATACAATCTAAATATCTATGAAATTGTTTTATAATATTCAGACATAAAACACAGTATAAAACATTTTTGACAATTTTTAACCGACTTCAAAAAAGGAGGAGGTTCTCAATTCGACTGTTTTTTTTTTTTTTTTTTTTATGTTTGTTAGCTCAGAACTATTGACTAGGTGAACCGATTTTGATTATTTTCCAAAATAATCAATTTTACGGTTTTCAAAATTTATTATATAGGGGACACACGAGCTGACTGGTCGCCTAGGGACCCAGTGTAAGTATATATCACATCGACTCGATCGTCACGGTGCCTGCGTTCAGCGTTGTGATTGGTGAAGAGTTTAGTTCTCTGGTAGTAAGTGACCACCGCCGTCCATGGACACTAACATCTCAAGAGTTCAGTGCATTGCTGGCACGATCTTTTCTTGAAGATTATATCGTGTACCCAAAACTATCTTTTTGTTGGTTGATTCCGTAAATAGATATAAATGTCTCCGAATGCGACTAAGATACCCTGATGGAATTTTAGAGGTTGAGGAGACAGGGATTGATGGGTGTTTACAAATAAAAATCTAACTATTACTCAACAACGAAAGTTACACGAAATACTCACTGGGTCCTGTGGATCGCATGCCATGTGGTTCTCTGGTGTCGAGGGTATTAAGTTGTGGTTGTGCCCCGTAGCTGACATCTGCCATTTCTCTTGCTTCTCACTGTAACATAAGGAGCATAAAATTAGCCTAATGACAACCTAAAGCTACCAAACTTTTTTACGATTACGGGAAACTATTCAAAAATTGGTGTAATCTTCTAGGTGTGTCTATTAGAAAAGTGTGTCTATTAGATTCTTTAGTACGAAATTAATATACAATCGATGTGCCATAAAAATGCATTGAAATTTTACATTTTCATCTTTCGCATGTAATTTGACGAAAACACTGGACTGGCTGTGTAAATAAATGAGCTGATATTTTGTATGATATTGATAAACTGTTCATAATTTTAAAATGAGTTATTTATTCTACTTCTCGTCGGTGTGCTGTATACAAGTCGTCGGTCTCGGTGTCCGGAATACAAGTAATTACATATATATGTGTGAATGATGTTATTAATCGATTGTTTTGGTTTATTTTGTCTGTGATTTGGTAGCAACACTAAGATACGAGCAAAGAGTAGAGAGAGATTTATGTCATGTGTATGACGTGTGTTGATTTGCGAAAGAAAAATACAGAATAATAGTTAAAACCGACTTTCTTTGGGTAAATATTCCTACATATACATATAATAGTGTAATAACATCGGACAAATTGTAGATATACTGTGCAAGTACCAACTGATATAAATATAAGAAAAACTTGGTTCAAAGTTGCGAGGAGGAATACGGATACTAAAATATTACCCGAAAAAATACGTTTGTACTTTAGTGAAGATTATTGAAGAAGAAGTGAAGAGAGGTAAAAGGCACTCAACAGGATAAGAATCGGGATTAGCAAAGGATTGGTAAATTTGTTTTGTCTCCCTTTACGAAACCCTCTCTTATAGAATAAAATAAACAAAAATTACGTTGGTTACGAAAAGTATAAAGCAAATACGCTGATCAGTTGACACTGACACTTTATAGTTTACACAGCTGTATGACGTAATAACATGGCAGCTACTACTTCACGGTGTCCAAAAACAGATTTTAAACCCAAAATGTTTGAAATTCATTTTTAATTTTGTTATTTTATATTTATATTTTATTATATTTGCCGGGTGCTTTTCACCGAAGCTATGTCAATATGTTTTTAGTTTTATACGCATATACATTAAAATACCCGCATTGACGTGATCACGTGATAGGATCACATAGCTATAATTACCTGACGTTTTGGCCAATTTACACCAGCCGTGGTATTAAATTAAGTGAAGGCATTCCGCAATCCAAACTTAGTTTAAATAACTACCTATTAACTAATACCTATAATCTACCTATTATCCCCATCTAATCTTATTCTCATCACATTTCATACGTACGAATCAGACATTTTTATGAAAAAGGAAACCAAAAATGTAACCATTGGTCTCTTTCTCAAATGAACCATCATAGTTATTACTATAGAATATAATTTCATTGCCGCGGGGGTTACCCAAACTTACACTTAAGAGCTGTGAATCACTTAAATCTTGGTATAATTTTAAATATAAACGTTAAGGCGATGCCCCGGCTTTAAGTCTTAACTCAGAGTGCTAACTTTTTTCATATATTTATCTGTGATTAAATCAAATTTTAAATATGGGGAAAAATTAATCAATAAAGCCAATGTCTGATTGGGATTTTGATGATTTGCTTATGTGTGGCTATGAGTCTGGGTGGTTTACATCCACTATTCGACCCGGTAATTGGCGCTGAATTAGGAAAAAAAGATATTTTTTTTCATACGTCTACAGAATTTTCGGGTCCCTTCACGACTAATTCAAACAGACAACTTACCCACTAATGTCTTCCTTTTTGCTTTCCCTGTACTTGACTGTGCGACTCTTTCTGATGACCATAACTGTACCATCTGGGTTCAGCTTGGGAAGGTTCTGTGAGGGTACCGCGTCTTTGCTCAAGGTTTTCCATTGACCTGAAATTTAAGAAAAAAAAAACGCTTATTCCTAAAAAGAAAAATATAAAAGAAAACTATTACTTGTATTATTATAAAAAAACATGGTTATAATATTATAGGTGGCCAGTTGACGATCTTAGGACCTAGTCCAAATCCTGCCTGAAGATGATGAACCTGAAGATTACTTCAGTGCAACAGACGGACTCTGCTGGAAAGAGGATTGCCAGCAGACTCCATCAGTTTAAACTGTACCGTACATGTACATTATTGATTAGTTTTAATAAATTCGCATTCCGAGGTCGTGCAACAAAGAACTAGTTATCAGTGACGTGTGGGGCCTTTCCCGTAACCACGACCCAACCACAGACACCATATTTAATATTAAAACAGTATATTAATAATATTTTTTTTTCCTGATCTATACTTACATTTATGGAATTATGACTGCTCTAAATTATAAAACTTTATTTATTGATTAAAATTTTGACTGATCCAATACATTACACTGACTACTTTCGTTCAAGATACATAGATTTTTTCGTTTGCTCAAACATCTGTTTACAGACAGAAATAACAATAATACATGCAAGTTGTTACATTTTTTATGTTCAAGCATGTTTGCAATATTATAATGGCTTTAATACGAACAATGTCAGAATCATCATCATCATCAACAGCCTTTACTAGTCCACTGCTGGACATAGGCCTCTCCTTAGAAAGGAGGTTTTGGTCTACTATACCACGCTGGCCAGACGGGTTGTTATAGGGTTTGTTTCAAGTTTTTCTTCTCTTTGCAGTGTTGTTGTCCTGCGTAGTTTACATGTTTAATACGAATGGCCAAAAAACGGATTTGAAATAAAAAATAATTCAAAATGTAGAAGTCAGACAAAGGTATAATATCCTTATAATCAATTAAATACTTTGAATAAATACATTGCTGTGAATAATAATTAACATCAAGAGACCAATGTTATTACGTGAGTATTTATGAATGATTACATTAGCACTAGTACTTTCAGACTCCTTGCCTTACAGTAACGTCAACGAATTAAAAATTGTTTTACTGTTAGATGGATGGATATGTGATGTGGAAAGATGAGCAAAATGTGGTGAAGAACGTTTTATGTATTGAATAAGGCAGATTATAGAGTAGAGGGCGAAGAAAAGATGGACAAGCTGCATAAAAAATGATATGGCTGAAACGGGAGTAAGCTGTGAACTGACGTATGATAGAAAAATAGAGGAAGCAAACTCAATGCGCCGACCCGACATAATTAGGTTAAGTATTTAACAGTCCGTGTGGAGCTGGATTAAGAATAAGGTGTCAAAACCCCTATTCATCACATGGGTGTCGTAAGAGCCGATCAAGGGAGCAAACCACGCAGGACAACAGCACGCCAAGAAGAAGGAAAACTTGAAAAAAGTCCTATAAAAACCCGTCCAGCCATCGTGGTATAGTAGGTCAAAATCACCTTTCTAAGGAGAGGTCTAGGTCCAGCAATGGACTATTAAAGGCTGTTAAAGTGGTGTGATCAATCGGGAAAAGTGTTTGAAAAGACGTGTATAAAATTTCATGATGATTGTTCGAGAACAAACAACATATTGATTAAAATTAAAATGTTAAATATCAAATATTTCTAAAAAGGAATATGTACCACAAAAATTAATACATTCAATAATCTTTCGCTTTTCCTCAATGTGTGCCGAAAATGTTGGTTGGATTTCGCGTTGATGTAAATGCAACATTAATAAAAACACTAATAAATACGGCCGACCAAACTGGTTCAGTACCTTTAACAACTAAAAGAACCATCAAATAAATATATATTTTCTGACAAAATTAACGTCAAACAATGTCATCAGACCATAATAAAGGAATTTAACCATACAATCCCATATTAATATATTTATGCAATAACTTCAGTGTATTTCGTGATGACTGACACAGCCTAGCCAATAGTGGTCTAGTGGTTAGCGATCCTGGCTGCTAAGCCAGAGGTCGTGGGTCCGATTCTCACCCTACATAACACACTGTGATGAACACGGTCATTGCCATTACTAAACTGTGTGCTAATTCAGGTGCATGCAAACTCCTATTTCAGGTGCAGTACACCAAAATAGAAATCGATTCGTTTTATAAATCCATCCGGACCCCTACCAGTGTCTGGGCACCACTTTTGGGTAAAATCCGTCACCGAAACCGACCATTAGTTTAGAACTACCTGACAAGCTACTAAATAAAAACAAAAACATAATTAATACAAAGATTTATTATACTATTGTTGCAATACGTAAATCCTGCAACAATTGTATTAAAATTAGTGAATAAATCAAAGACATATCATGTCCGTGTGGTGACGGATTAAGAATACAGAGTGTCACCACCCCTATTCATCCCGTGGGTGTCGTAAGAGCCGACTAAGAGAAAAAACTAAGCAGGACAATAGCACTGCACAGAGAAGGAAAACTTGACACAAACCCTTTACCAACCCGTCTGGCCAGCGTGGTATAGTAGGCCAAAACCTCCTTTCTCAGGAGAGGCTTATGTCCAGCAGTGGACTATTAAAGGCTGTTGATGATGATGATGATGATGATGATGATGATATCATATAAACATACATTACACTCACGCTTGAAGTAATTGTTTATGTCACAGGAGGGCCAACTAGCAAACGGGTTACTCTGGGCTCTGAAACCCTCAAAATCAGGGGAAGGGGGGGCGGGAGATGTTTCGGTAAAAAAATTGCTGAACACCGGTTTTCTGTGAGGCCGTGGTTTAAATCCGATCGAGCCATCCAATTGCAAAACCTGCAGTGCAAACCTAACAGTATAGATGGCGCCACCTACTACATATTGACTTATTTGTTTTTTTTTTCCTGGAGATAAGGTATTTTGCCGCTGTAAAAGTAGCCTGTGTTATTCTAGGTCATATTCGATTACTAAATCTCATTCAAATCTGTCTAGGCGTTTTAGCGTAAGCGAAGTAAGTAACATATAAACAGACACACACAAACTTTCGTATTTACAATATTAGTGCGATTAGTCCGTAAGTAAATAAAAACCTATAAAGTATCATTGCAAGGCTTCTCTGTAAACTATAATACATTTGATGTACTCTTCGTTTGAAGAAAAATAATTTGTTTTGCCGGAGATCCCACGCGAGACAGGCTAACGTATAGTCCATAGGAGAAGCACTCTTTTTTTAAGCCAATGCCAACTAACGAAAATGTTTGTCCCTGGTCCCTTACTAATAGTTAGTGCAAATGATATTTTAACAGGGAACTGAAGCCTCTTAAATGATACGGGCAAATCTGTCGGTATCATTGGAATACGCAGAATGTTTGCGAGCTGTCCGGCTGCAGGCCCGGTGATGATGGTGGCTACAATGACATTGTCTCGAAGTTCTTTAATTAAAACTCTTACATAGATTTAAATTCAATATCATTACTGGGATTCCAACTTCAGTACGTGTGGCATCAGACCAGATCGATTTAAAGAGTTTAAAAATTCTTGACGGTAATGTACAGTGTCTTTGATGTTGCACACTCTGTCGATAGACTTGTAGCCTTTAGTCCTTGTTTGGGAAAAGTGTGCCTGCGAGGTTCTAGCATTTTGTTCGATCAGTCGTAGTGACCGTTCAACGCTGGACTAGATTTTTTTTTTGTGCAAGTGGCAACTCTGAAATTTGACAGCTGTCACCTATGTTTATTCCGATTATTAAAAATGGAACAACGCGTTATAATTGTGAAAACTCAATACAATGGAAATAAAATGGGAAAAGTTACGCTAAAACCTATCGCAAACTCCGCCAAATTTTCAGTCAAGTGCACCTAATGTTTCAACCATTCGAAAAGTGGTCAAAAACTTAGAAAAAAACTGGATCGATTATGCATATTAAGAATTCTTTGCGTCAACGTATCGTTGACGTACCGTACTGTACCGAAAACCCGTGAGTTTATTTGTTCAGGCATAATTATAACATCCGCCGTCTCCTTCTGCAAGCAAGTTATGCTTGTTAAGGAGATGGCGGAGCGAGACCGGGAGAGGTGTAGAACTCTCCCGGAGCGCCATCCCGGAGCGCGTACGTGGCGCAGGCCTGGGGGTGGTAGGTGAGGCCATCTGTCACCCTGGCAGAAGCAGGCCGGAGTGGTGGCAAGACGCGCTTAGAAGCGCCCCCCCCCCTTTCGGGAGCACAAAGAGCAAACAGATTGTTGCTCTTTTGTGTGTAGATCTACGACTTTAGTCTACACAAGAGACGATTTCAAACAATTTTTTTTTATAAAATTAAGATATTTTGAGTTTGACTTTATATCAGTGATCAGTATAATTTGGGACTGTCCTTGTAACTGGCTCTTGTTAAGATGGGAGGTCAGAATAAATACAGATTATGAATGAATTAGATTATTAGAACGTATCGAATTTTAACTCTCTGAAATTCGCAATACACACTAGATATGATTTAATTAAAAACAGCACTGTATTAATATAAATAACATATGCAAGTCAAACTCCGCGCCAAAATGGAAAACAGTTGTGCCAATCTAACAACAAAAAAAAAATTGAATTTGGAACCATAAACAAATCACCCATTCCCGATACTTTTTTGACTGAATGTATATGCTTTAAAATAAAATACAAAGAATTTTCTTCAAGTATTAATATATTATTATTATCATTTTAATGTAATGCTCGACCAAGTGATCTTGATACAGATGGGTTTTAACCATCAGCGAGAGCGTTTTGAGGAAAAAATACCAAGAAATTATGGTTATTCGTCACTGGCCATGTCATACACGATTGTCACGAGGATTTTATCATTGCATCATACGCGAGTTGCTCTGCGTTTCTATTGATTACAATTTAAAACTTACGAGTGTTATTAATATTTATTAATTACTAGCTTTTGCAAGCAGCTCTGCCCCACTATGGAAAATTGAGGTCTGTTTCAGATCAAAAATCGATTTTTATTCGTCAAGAAAGACGAATGAATTTTTGCAAAAGCATAGAGCATAAGGCTT